TAGATGTAGCAGTTTTTAGCACTTGCCTTGGATTTTTTGGTAAGTGCGGCCGTTGTAAGCCGCTGTGATAGCGACGTTTTTTTTTTAGTGGAAGGGTTTTCCTNTGGATGATTTTGTGTCACGCAGACTGGTAAGATAACCGTTTGATAGGGGGCACCGCGATGATTCACGGGGCCCCTCCTTGCTGTGGGAGCCGCTCTTTGAGCACTCCCTCTTTCGTCCGTGTGAAGGACGGCCGTTTACCTCCCGTGAAGTTAATACATCACCAAAACAGTCTCACCCGATAAAAAAGTGGCGTAGGCCGCAAACACAGTACTGCAACACTTTCCGTGCAGAAGACAAGAAAAATAGTGGCACTTGAGTGTGCAGTGATTGAGGTAGTGCCTCGCAAATGGACCACCCTTTGTAAGTAGCTGCTTTCCTGCGCCGAATGGGGGCTCCCCCCCCCGCTCTAGCGTGGTTTTGTCAGGGACGTATCTGGAGTAGTGCATTTGGCTTCTCGATTCGGAGGTGGCTCCGGTCTCGCGGAGAACCTCGAATAGTTCGATGAAGGACTGTGCTTTAATTGCGGAGAGGTACACTCCGCAAGGATGAGAGGCCACGTTGTCAATGCTGCTTGATGTTTCGCTCACATTACTCTCCCTCGACAGGTGGCCTACACCGGGCTGCTGCAAATGTTATTGACGCCACGGTCGGTGTGCGTGCTTGTGTGCAACGCGGGGGAGTTCGGGCAGCAGCTAGGTAGGGACAACATTGACCAGGCTGATATAGACTGTCGCCGGCTGGAGGCATTGCGCGTATGCGAGTGGCTGCGGTCGATATCTCGTCGCGTTCCCGGCAACGACATCATTCTCCTCGCTACCAAGTGTGACTTGGTGAGCGGGAACGCTGAGGAAACTGGCCGAAGAATGGAGCATGCCTGTCGGATGTGGCTTTCGAGCTGGGTTTGCAGTGGTATGGGCCCCGTCCGGCTGGAGCACCGCGTTTCCCTCACGAGCTGCTTCCCAGTAGGGGCTGGTGAGCCTGGCGAGAGTAGCTCTGGGAATGATGCTTCGAAGCAGGGTTGGGCGTGCGACTGGCGAGACGTGGAACGCCAAAAGCCTTCAACCAGTTTGCTTTACCGGCTCGTCAACAAGCCTGACGAAGGTGGGCTCCGAGGCGTCCGGATGGTGCTTCCTCGCAGTTGGGATATCGCCCAAGTCTTCCTGGATTCTCTCGAGGATGGACGGTGAGCTTTGTTCCGGTTTGAACTTGGGCCCTACTGTGACTTTTCGTTGATTTGTGAGTCGAACCAGGGGGGATTCTTGACACGTGCCTCGCCTCCCCTGGCTAGGGTTGTGTGAGTGGCGTTTGAGCCATCCTCCGTCTACGAGTGTCTACAATATACATGAACCACCTAGAGACGAAACCAGGAGAGTGGTTTTGAGGTAGGCCACGTTTCGTTACCGTGAAGTATTCTCTTTGCTATCGAGGTTAATCAATCGAATTTGTTGTTCGTTGTTAGAGGCTGTTGCGCCCTTTTTCTTTAGCATGGCTACTCTGTCCAACAAGTTCACAGGCACGACACGTCCCTTGTGTTCTGAGACATCCCGCTACACGGAAGAACTCGAACACCAACGAGATCCTCTGTGATGAAGTGTAACCTTCATCTCTCTGGATTCTGCGCGAGAGACTGCCGAAGACAAGCTCGGAGTCTGTGCGTGTGGATATTGTCAGAGGCCACACCAGGGCTTAAGATGGTCCCATACAAAAAAATGACGGTGGCCACACGTTGTGGTTGTTTTTGGTGCCTTCGTGCTACGCACTGGCTCTGTAAACTATTCAGCACCTCTCTCCGGCGCTTATCAGAAGACGAACACGTAGTCCTAAAGCCCCAAGCGGGCAACAGCTGCAGAAAACTCCGCAGAATTCTGGCCACTTGCAGAAATGAGAAGCTCCTCAAGTGTCACGGCGTTCAGGGACATAGTAGGTTGGTAGGGCTAGTCGACCCTCAAAGAACAAGTTGAGTCAGTCGCTCCATCTCAAAACCTGAGCCAAACATCAGCATTCTCTTAAACAGTAGTACCGGATGAGGCGGTGGAAACACAAGGAAGCGCCAGCTTTGCGCCCCCTACCCGCATCCTGTCGAATTCGAACTTTTGTTTTCGGGGTTTATGTGTGCTTTCGTTGCTCACGAGCTGCCCTCAGGCAAACACTCTCTTCTTGTTGGTGTCTGGTTCACCTGCACTCGGAGCCCGTATGATAAAGAAAGAGGTATGAATGCAGTGCTCGAACACGGGTGTGCCACGAGCGCCGACGACTTATTCGATTGTGTTTTGACCGTCGCTTGCCCAGAAATCCTGTGGAGATGGTAATGCGCAAGTCTCCCGACAATGACGGAGGGGGTGCAACGGAAACAGCAGGGGGCAAGACAACTGTGTTTCAGGGGATCACGGTTGAGGAACTCAAGACCAAATGGCAGGAAATAGTTGATGAGCTTGGGAGGAGCGGGATCACTGTCGCAAACATGGAGAGTGCTTTGGAGGGAGCTCTCTCGATCAGGTGAACCGATCAAATGGGCATGTCGACGTGGGTACCTCCTCGTCACCGCGCTCCTAGTAGCCATTATAGGTGCAATATCGCTGTTAGTCGGTGCTCTTGAAGCATGATTGCGTCATGATATCGACTACTGTGTTGGTCCTGTCGGAAAGGAAGTTGCGACACCGCTTTCTTCAACGGTTCCACATGGTTCGTGAACTCGTCTTGGCGGATTTTCCAACTCGATTTTGTTTATTCACTATGTTGTGCCTGTAGGGAGTACGACGGAACCCTCGTTCGCCACGAGAAATTGTGTTTCTGGACTTCGTGTGGCTGGCGAGAATCCTCAAACCCTTTCTCAACCACAAGGATCAAGTGACCTACGACGGTCTGGTGAGGCTTGGGGACACGGGCGACGTGCGTATCACACTCCACGACCAATCGGATATCGCTTCGTTGGATAGGCTCAAGGACGAGGGCGTGCTTGAACCCAGATTGGCGAATGCCATTTGGCCTAGTGGTCTGTCCGAGTATGTCCTCCCCACCCTTGCATCATTGGGTCTCACGTTCCCGCTCGAAGACGATCCTTAGGAGGGCCTGGTGGTTCTGCTGAGGCTAAAACCAGACCGTCCACAGAGTGTGGGCAAAGGGATCGACACCTTCTGCATGGGGCTCACCCCGGCATTCAGCGCCAGTTGGAAATTTTCCTCGGGGACCGCCTGGAGCAACTGAAAAGGTGTTGACACGGTGCTGCAGTCTTGGTGGCGTGCAATTATTCTGGCAATATGGGGTGCTTGTGCATGGCGGCCTCGGCGACTTTGAAGGACGCGAGATATTTGCTACGGTCTTGGAATACTCGTCCACCGACAATGAGCTTTCTGCTCGGATTTTCGGCGATATCAGCACGCCAGCTCCGTGGACGGCGCTGTCATACGTGATGTCGGCGGTGATCTTGATGTTGGTGGATTTTCCAGGACTGCGTTGGGAAGGCTCTCTGAAGTGCCCTCAACATGGCAACGCGATGCTCTTGGCCAACCAAGTAAGCCCTGAGCCCCTTGTGTAGTCCCTAGGCCCATGGGTGCCCCAGCAAGGCTACGCTTCTGTTTGTTATCGCGCACGGTGTACGGAACAATCGATGTTGTGTCGGATGTCGGGGTGGGCCGTATTTGTTTCATGCAATGTTCCCTTGCGCGTGTAGTTGGCAATTCAGCACGAGTTACTATTCTGGAAACGTGGGAACCATCGAGTAGGAGAAGCGTTCGAAAACTTGGAGCATAGCAATCTGCCCTATCACCAGCGCGCCGTAAGACGTGGGTAGGTGTGGTTTCGTGTGGTTCTGCGCTGTCTAGCTGCGGCACCTTTCTGGTGGTGTCTGGAGCAGGTGGTTCGCCTTCTGAATGTTTGAGAAAGCGGGATGCAGGTTCTGGGTCCCTAATTTTTTTTTTGTATGTGTACTCGTGCATGCGGTAGGTGCCGTTGTGGTTGCCATTCGAAACTTGGGTTTCCACCGCTGCCATGCCTGGCGTCAACTCTTTGATTTCGCGCTCAAGACAAAATTTCGAGAAACAACAGGGGTTTGTTGCATTCCTCGGCAATACATGTGCAACTCAATATCTTGCGATTTTACGTATTCAGCCTCTCTGCACATTCGACAAGTACTGCCTTTGCTTACCATTTTCAGGCGATTGATCCTGGAGAGGGGCTCGTGGCCCGCCGATGCCCAAGTTGTTGTCCCCAAACCAAGGGGCTCGGGGCAGCTGCCATCCATCTGGTGCGCATGGTCGACATCCGACTGGATCGAGGTATGCATACCAGCGAGGAGGTGGGAGTGGAGCACATTCGAAGGGAAAGCGCGGTGCCGTTACTCTTTTTCCCACCACCTGTGGGAAAACCTAGGACTTCCACGAGCGCCATGATCCCCATGTGGAAGTTGATGTTAACCATGTGATGCTACTAGTTTCACTCATGCCTTCGTGTCACAGCTCCCATGTTGACGTTGTTGCACAAAGTTTCAATAGCGATACTAGTCTATCTCATGCATCCCCTGTGTACTGGTGTACGAGCCTCTGCTGGTGCTTTTTACTGCAAGCACGTAATAGCCAGAAAGTAATCACAAAACGAGAGAACATGCGACAGATTCGCTCATTGAATGCCGTAGCGTGCAGCGAGTGGTGACTGGCGTGGTAACGTTTCAGTTTTGTTTATAACAGTAGCATGCGAAAAGCGATGAACAACGTAGCCAGCACCTGGACACGATCCATGTTCCGTCCATCTTGCGGTTTGGCTGCCGGTAGGTCGTAACTTTCGGCGTGGGCCCTTTATTGGTGAGCTTGGATGAGGGGCCGCCGTTCTTTCTCCGATTCAACTGAAACCTTGTTCATTTCTACAATTCGCCTGATCAACGGAGCCCTCGTTCATATTCAACGTGTGCCGGTCCATGCTGCAATACACGCAAGTAGAGCAATGGCACCCATACATACATTCGCGAGACGGACACACATCAGCGCATGTCAGCCCAGTATTTATTGTTTTTCTTTCGAATTGCCTTTTTGCATTAATGTTTTCTCTTCACACGCGGGGAAGAGAGAGAAACCACGCCGACAGAACACGATTCCTGTAGACGCCCTCTGCGCCTGTCCTACCGTGTCTCTGTCCATTCATTCTACTGTCTCTCTCTCTTCCCAAAGAAAACAGCCCGGGGTTTCTCATTCCACCGGTGTGGGGAACTCTTCCTACTGTACGGAACATCTCAGACGACCAAGTTCCCAAATGGTACTCTACCATTTACTC